TATGTTTTCTGCCCACTGGCAGACTGAGCTGCGTCAGTCAGCGCCATCGTTTATTTCCACTGGCAGTAAGAACTAAATTAGTGACCTAAGAATTAAAATCAGCTTGCACATGAGCTTTTGTGGAATTTTGCCCACAAAATAAACAACCAGTTGCTACAGCATTGGGACCTTGAGGCAACATTTTTGAACCACTTCTTGAATATTCGATAAGTATAAGTATGCCATTAGTTAACTATTTGCAGGCCCCAATGAACTTGGGTTCTGTTAATGCACCACTCTGTTTTATGTCTCATTGTTAAGAACCTCATGGCTAAGAGATTTATATCAATACGGTACTATATTAAGAACGGACCTAATTACCATCTGTGTAGAAGGAACTGTGAAAGACTCTCTCGCCTTTACTCAGTTTTCTGGTTGTTTGACAGGACCATACGTAGACAACATAAGATGTTGGTTAAAATGGTTGTGTCAAACTTTGCAGCTTCAGACCGGCTGCAACTTCAGCACTCGTGTTATGTAATGTTGGGCATATCTCTGAGTGTAGATTACATTCAACAAGAGACGGGGAAAAAAGTGGCTGTGAATTTTGCAATTGAATAATGAGAAACTGAAGTTCTCAAACTAGAACTCCTAGTTTGAACTGGGCTGCAATTATTTTGTAAACAAAAGGCAAGTTACTGCAGATGCTGGTTATCTGAATTAAAAACAGAAGTCACTGGAGACACTCAGCAGGTCAGGCAGCATCTATGGAGAGAGGAAAATGGTTTAATGTTTTCGGTCTATGACCTTTCGTCAGATAATCTGAGTGTTCCCAGTGACTTCTGTTTTTATTTCCAATTATATTGTCTGGCTTTCTTCATTCTGCTGTTTCTCCACTTGTCCACCTGTCTGGGAGCTTTTTAATAATAGATTTTAACAAAGCTTTCTCATTAAATTGTGTTCCATTAGAAAAAATGATGGGAACTATCCATACGGGAAGTGGCAGAGCAGCCATTTGTTCTGAACCATCAGTGAATGAAAAACAGCTGCAGATTCTTGTGTTCTAGTGGCAGTTTTGCAATGGAATAATAATTTTGATGTGAATTGTTCTGCTATAATGGAGGGTTTGATAATAGCAGATAATTGCAAAACATCTGTCAGCATTGATGGTTTCTTTGTAAATGTATTGTTTTTTCACCAAAGTAGTATTCTTATTTTTATCATCCTCTAGATTGTTTATGAAAATAGACATAATAGAACTAGCACTTCAGTAATTCAGTAAACTTGATCAGATTATTTGGCTGTTGGAAACTGATACGCTGGCAGCTGCATATGTTCAGAGAATGTTTATAAACTACCTCTCTTAATCTGCTGTGTTTCCCTGATTTTCATAATTCATCTGCAGTCTAGATTGCTTTTAAAATTGCACTTGGTAATTTTTTTTAAGCAAAGAAGTTTACAAAATGACTTGGTATCTTCTTATTGGACGCAGATTTCAATTTTGAAAAAGGCTTGCTGGGAATTTTTTATCTGGAAGACCAGAAATCCCCTTTTAAGAGGTACTCTATTATTTTGTGATTTCTTCTTTTTCTTTCCTGCATCTTGATATACATAATAATAATCGTTGCATTTGATATCACACCTTATTACATCGTTGAGACATCGCAAAGTGCTTTACAGAATCTACTGTAAAGTGGATTGACTGTGGGCGAAACTAATAGGTTATATCCCACCTACCAGAAATCATGTAGAAAAGAAGATGTTTTTCCTTATTCAAAGGTAATTTGACTGAAAATGATCCGATTTGTTGCCTGAAGTCGTGGGAGAGGTAATGCCAAACAGTTTTTAGATACATTTAATGTCTTGTTTGCTGTATGTTTAGTGTGTTTTTGGTGCTTGAGAAACAAATTATTTCAGGGACCTTTACATGCTTTAATGTCTCAAGATATTTTGCTGTATTCCCAAAAATATGTAACTTGATTACGCCCTTTTGTGGAGCTTGTCCAGACCACTTTGTGCAAAGAATCTAGATTTTAATGATTATTCGTGTAGTCCTGGAAAATACATGATTGAATAGATTTTGGCGCAAGTTTTCATTTTACATTGCCATTTTGCACGTCCCATTTGTCGTCTTTTCCAAGTGTTTAATTTTTTTCTCCCTAATACTTCCCCATACATTCTGGTTTGAGGAGGCTTTTAGAGTTTGCTCACTTGTTTTCTTATAGGGCAAATAATAGTAAGTACCATCTGTATGCCCAGGGGACTGGAATGGAAAGTTACCCAGCAAATAATGTCTGAAGCACAGGGTGCTCTGAATTTAAAAATAGCAACTTGTAAAATAGACTGCCTGGAGTTAAGCCAATTTTTTTTTAAGTTTAATGTAATTTAGCTGCCATTTCTGTGTGCTAAATTCTAACTTTGAATAACATTCATGAATAAAATGACATAAAGCGTGAGACCTGGTGTGGGTGATTTGTTCCAATCCCTGTTATAAATTTTAGTTTTTCAATTTCTTGCTTAAGTTAGTACTCAACTATTGGTTAAGTATTATTTGCAATTTATTTTTAGGTATAATTTCGCTAACTGTTCAACTTAGCAGAAAATTGGCGATCTGTAAAGGACTTGAAATAAAATGTTAAAAAGATGAAAAGTCTGTTATTGTAGGTTACCAGAAAGATCTATAGGTATTGCTGCTCCTTTTTTAAAAAAAAGTGGGGTGGCTGGCTTTGATTTTTTTGTGATTTTTGAGCTAAAATCTATTTTTCTACTTGGCAAGCTCCTTGGTGGGCTGCAGAAGAAAATAACGTAGCTTAGAATACCTTCAATAAACGATGCAAGGGACTGGATTCGTTTTTAATCTCCTATTAACTGTTCTATTCAAACTTGCACTTTTTCAAAAATTGCATTGCGGTAATTGGAGTTTGACTAAAAGATACAGGTTGACACTCCAGCGGTAATGTGTGGCAATGTTACAACTACTGTGGAAAATGTGATGGATGAGGTGTTTGCTCTGGTATTCTCGCACACAGTTCAAGGAGAATTCAAGGGCAACTGTTCTGCTGCATCCAAGTGTTGGTTGGTTTCAGCTCATTGCCCTCATCCTCTTTACTAAGGAAATGTTACTGAAAAAAGGAATTTAAAAAAATCTGCTGCAAATATTTACAATTTGAGAATCCCATCTGAAGGTAGTAGACACTCACACGGATGGAAGAAAAGACATTCGTTTGTTTATACTGATTAACTCTAAATTGTGACATAAATTTTACAAACAATGATTAGCTTTGTGCAGTGTTTTTACTTCAAGCAGCATCTATCAGAAAGTCCTCAGTGCATGCAGGTTGTTTTGAAATGTAATGCCTATAAAAAGCCATTCATTCGGTGTCTTCAAAGTACTGTTTTATAATTGAATTGTTTTATTATAGGGCGTTGAATGCTTCCCAAGTGGGAAGCAAATCTTTGCATTCAATTTGCTTTCAAGCTTTTAAAAATAAAATAAATCTGTTTGTCATTCTATCTGCTCATCTCTTTGTTCAGTTAACCTGCTGTTGCCACCTGCCATGCACAGGAAATGTAATAGTGTCTTGCACCTTACAAGTGAGTGAAAGCACCAGAGAGCTCAAGTTCCGTTTGGATGCTTTATTTGAGCTAAAATCTACTTTCTGTTGTAAATTGAATAGATGTGAAGTTAAATCTTTGTTTAAGTTCATTTAGATTCTTTTGGCAAAGAATAATCTCTGCTGTTTGGATATGGAGAGAACTTTTCAACAGTTTCTTTCTGACTCATTAATACTTCCAAGCCAGACTCAGTAAATTATAGCTTTGGTTTACTGGTAAATTAAATGAATTTGTGACTAACGTCTGTAAAATGTCAGTAATGAAGGTAGCCTGAGAGATTAAATCATACTGAAGGAGAGCTAATGATACTTGAATGTTTTAGAATAATAATAATATTCCTTGCATTTGATATAGCGCCTTATCATGTCTTCGAGACATTTCAAAGTGCTTCACAGAATATACTGCAAAGTGAATTGACTGTATTTTCTGGGCGAAACGCTTGTTGCTAGTGTAAACTTTTAAGCACACCCAGATTCAAGACTTGGATGCAGAGCAAAGCTTGACAGTATACTTGAATCCAACCTTAAAAGAGCACTTAATTCCTGATCCGAATTTACATAGATTGCACAGCATGGAAATAAGCAATTCAGCCCAACTTGTCTATGCAGGCGTTAATACTCCATGAGTCTCAATGGAGACCCACGCCTTACACCCTTCACATCCTTCTCTCGCTTTATTACTCCCATCTATCCTATTCCCTTCTCCCTCATGGTATATATAGCTTCCTCTTAAATCATCTATACAATCTGCTTCAACCACTGCTTCAGGCAGTGGTTCCACATTCTCACTACCCTCTGTGTGAAGTAGTTTTTCCTAAATTTCAATGCTTTTGTCAATATATTATGTTTGTCCAGGAGGCCATACCCTGAGGACACAAGTGGGAACAGCTTATTTATTACATTAACATACTTGGCTTCTTAGTGAGAATGTAAGTTTGCCAATGAATATTTGACCTGTGGACCATCTTCTGGTGGGAACTAGATTAAAACTGCCCTAACTTGTGTAATTTTGAACCTTGACTTCCAGTCATTTCTGTCTGGTTTCTAAACTGGTACGAAGGATGAAAAGACAACATTTTAACCCAATGTTCCATCTTGTCCTCTTACTGCTACTTTGCTTCAACGTGTAACAAATACCCTGTCTGAGGTTTGTGTTTTAGATTAATTTGTTAGGATTGTGATTTGGTAAAGGTACATATTTACTTGCATGTACTTGCAAGTCCAATGCCAATTGCAATGAAGGAAGTAGGCAACATTTTATACCCAGGCTTCTGCCAGCGTTTAGTGTGTTGCAGTAAGGATGATTTACATTTTAGGTAACTAATCACTTGCATTTTAGATTAGATTATTTAGAACAACTCTGTCAGTAGCTTTTCAGTACTAAACTTGTTTTTGCTTTTCTTACAGGTTAAGCTTGTAAAATATATCAGTAAACAGTTGCAGTGCAAGCACAAAGTACCTTCCAGTGAGAGGACACCCGAACTTGAGAGCTACCCACGACTGAGTGATTGGCTGAATACCATTAATTTAAGGAAGAAAATAATACAAGTAAGTCAGCAGATCTTCTACTATCGCCTTTGCTCCATTCTTGGAGAATCTCTAATCGAATAATTGCCTGTACCAGCCTGTTCAGTAACATGGAAACACATTTCTGCTAACTGAGCAGTTACTGAAAAGAATGTTCCAACTAATATCGATTCATTAGTTGTGAGCTGTTGTGGCAACATTTCTATGTGAAAATCTAAGATTAGGTTGCTTTCACTTATCTTATTTATGGGTGTTTTGATTGTCAAAGTTTTCAGCATTCTACTTTGCTGTAACCTTTCCTGTCTTGTCATTTCTAGTATGGAGCACTGAGGAGGGTTATGTACTCTTTAACTTTTACTCTCTCTGCCCTTCCCCCCCCTCCCCCCGGCCCAGGGGATATTCATATCAATTGTTATGCCTTTACTTCTACCCAGACGCAAATCTTCTTAAGAGTACAGATAAGGGATGGAACCTGGGATGTTCCTGGTCTGATTGGTTCAGTACTACATTACGTAGTATATTTACTTACCCAGTGGGCCATTGTTTTCTAAATGTAATATAATAATAATCATAATCCTTGCATTATTGCATAATCCTTCTGGAGTCCTGTAGCTCAGTGGTTAGAGCACTCGCTTTGCAAGTGAGACACCTGAGTTCAGTTCCAGGCAGGGCGAAACCTTGGGCAAGTTTCCTTACTCCACACGCCTAATAATAATCCCTCCAAAAACAATAATAAATTGGTCATTTTCAATCTACGACTGTTTATGGGACATTGCTGTGCGCAATTGGCTGCCGCGTTCGCCCACAAATATACAGTCAATTCACTTTACAGTGTGTTCTGTGAAGCGCTTTGGGACGTCCTCCCGACGTGAAAAGCGCTATATCAAATGCAAGGATTATTATTATTATTATAATATATAACTATAATAATAATAATCCTTGCCTTTGATATAGCGCTTTATAACATCTTCAAGACGTCTCAAAGCGCTTCACAGAATATACTGTAATGTGAATTCACTGTATATTTTGTGGGCAAAACGCAGCAGTCAAATGTTCGGGATTTGCATGTCTAATCAACAACCAGATACACATTGTTGTATAACTAGACATGGTTAATTAATTTTAAATGCTTGAAATATCTTATTTAGTTTATGCAATTCTAGTTTCACTTGTGATATAGTAAAATTAATTTACTGCAAAATGTAAAAGTCAATTTACCATTTCACATTTCTTGTTGCTGAACGACTAGTTGATAACAAGCTTTAGTAATGTGATATATCAGTGTTCAAATAATGAATGCTGACAATGCCAACAGAATTGACTGCCACATTTCAACAGTGAATCACTTGTAAATGGTTCTGTTATGGGGGTGGTCCTGTTCTCAGAATGTGTATCCTGTGACAACTGGTCCAGAATCTTGTTTGTTGAGGATAAGATTGGATTGTTTTGATGGTTGGGAAATGTATGCAATAATATGAACGTGTGCAGGCTGGGGTTAGGGAGTGCCCAGGTAGCTCTTAATGGAGAAATGCAATATTTTCTAAAGTAATTAGCTGGATGAACTCAGTACAAAAACTAGCTTTGTTTCTATGGGATTGCTCTCTATCAACATGTAATCAATCTTTTTTGCCCCTATAAGTTTCTCTTTTTTGTCTCCCACTCTCTTAATGAACTGCCTATTTGCCTGGAGAGTGGGATTTTGTGGTCTGTTTGTAGTAGATGTGTTTCGATGCGATGGGTGAAACTGATGCTGCCCTTTCCCCATCACTGTCATCCAGCAACTGTCTTATTGATGTTTTTTTTCTTGCTCTCTCTTTTTCTCTCTCTCTCTCTTAACTCGCGTTTTTCTCGTGGTACAAAAATACACAAAGTCAATCTACTTTACAATATATTCTGGGATGTGCTTTGAGGTGCCTCAATAATGTGATAAGCGCTATATCAAATGCAAATATTTTTATTACTATGAAAGCTCTATTTGCCTTCATAATATCATTCTATATTGCAGACAAGTTTATCATTTATTCCCACATCACCTAATTTTTTTGTTAATTTTGATTACCAATCTCACGATTCAGAATGATGCACACACAGGGTTCGTCCTGCTATTTCAAAGAGATAATAAGGCCTTTTTCCTGGTTGTGCTCATATTCTCTCCTCAGCTGACTTTAACAGTAATTGGCTACTTATCTCATTGTTTGTGAGATGGTGCAGATTAGCTACTGAAAAAAATTCTAAACTATATATTACTTTGAAATGTGTACATTTTATATGAAATGTACCTGTAAGTAATCCTTATAAATGTAAGATTATTACCTATCCTTCCCACAACGTCCAAATCCATTACATAGATTTAAAAAGAGAACTGTTTTAATAGTAGCAGCTGGTTCTTTCTGTGGTTTTCATAAGAACGAGCATTTTTATATTGCGTTATATGTCAGTGCCTTAAGTGCTTCAATACTGTGCATTTGTACAATCTCATTTATTTCTCTAAATGTGCTTGCTCACAGTCTATTCACTTGCTAACAATTCTCCCCTCGCCTACCTGTTTCTGTTTTTTACAATACTTAACTTGCATTTTGTCTCTTGTCGTAGTACATTGTGAGCCAAATCCAGTTTTTAGAACTTGAACCCGCATGTCTGTGCTTGTATAGATTTTCTAATAAGCCCACAGGAAGTGAAGTACTGTTAAAACTGTTCAGACTGTTGCAGGTGGGTTGGGAGAGGCTGTGTTCATTTTCACAAATGCAAATTCTGTTCTGCTGCCTGCCAACAGTCTTGACAAGCTCTTCGTTTTGTACATTTGGAATTAATGCAAATGGCGGTTTGTTTAGTTTATAACAACTTCTTATTACATTCTTCATGCTCATAGTTACATATGGCAGACAAATTGCCTTCTCCCCTCTTCCGTTTGGGATGATTTAACTCCAATTTGAAATCCATCAATTATTTTGGGAGTTTGCAATGTGCTGCTGCAGTATAGTTTTATTGCTCCTATTGGGGGCGAGAATAGATAAATACAGATGCTTTGAGAAGATGTTGAACTAAGCAAAGGAAACTGTTTGACAAAAGTAATTTGATTGCCTTCTTTGAGCTAAGGAAGTGGAAAATCCAACAGAAAGTGACAAGAATAAAACTTGCTGATATCAATCTTAGTAATGTACCTGTATGGAGCGATAGAAACGGGTTATTTTACGAAGTCATCACTTCAAGGAGAAAAGTGAGCTCTTTAGAATAACTTGCTGCTGAAGCATCAGGAAGTGGTGGATTCACAAGACTTTTGAAAGAAAGGGTTGGTAAGGGACCAGAAAGAATCCTGGGTCTTTTACTGACAATCCAATCAAGCAACTCTAATGAAGGATTTAATGTAGGTTCTGGACCTCAGTCAAATTGGTGGAGGATGTTTCGGACCAATTTAAGTGACACTAGTCCGATCGCCAAGTGGAGCAAAATAAAATGTGAAGCTTTCTATGCCAGTTCGAGGAACATCGGTTATTGCATTGGCTGAGGTCAAAGTATCAAATAATAATCCTTACATTTGATATAGCACCTTATCATGTCTTCAATAATTTTCAAAATATACACAGAATATACTGTAATGTGAGTCGACTGTATATGTTGTGGGTGAATGAGTGGAAGCAGCATTTTCACCAGGGAATAGCAGCAAAGCATTCTCCCAACACAATTCCAGTCAGCTAATTTCAGGGGCAAACAAGTCTAGTCTTGTTAATTGGATGTGCTATGCTGGAGAGTATTTTGCAAAATGTACATACGTACGTCATCAGAAAAGTCAGTGGTGAAGAAACTGTAGTGTAGTAGACGTAAGGAGAAAAGACTCATCTGTTGAATTATCAGGTGAATCCAGGTTATGGGTAGGCTATGCCTGCCCGATAATATAAGAGGAAAAGCAGAGTTTGTGCTGATGAACATTCAAGTCTGCAAAAATGAATTTTCGGCATAGGAAATGTAATTAATGCACTCACTTTTATTTGACAAGGTTGACAAGTTCTGATACTTGCCAGTTTGGCCCAGCGATTAAGTCAGTAGATGAATGTCAGGTGTGTATTTGTAACCTCAAATGATCCAAGTCAAAATAAATAAATAAGTAAATAAATACATAAACAAACAAATAAATAAATAAATGAGCTTAGTCAAGCAACAGGGACATGAAAGCACACAAGAACACCAAAGCCTTCCTTGGAATGGAAATTGGAAAGAGGAAGAGTCATGAAGTGATTAGACTGTGTTTCATTGAAGAACTGAGGTGAAGGCAAGATATATAGACTGAAGGAAATTCTGTCAGTGTTATAGGTTGAAATGATTTGGAGTAGGGGTGAATGTTAGTTTTATTTGGAGGAGATATCATAAATTTATGGAAAGATACCATACATTGGTATTGGTACACATCTAATTTATGGTGGATATTTTTAAAGAAACAATTGAAATTCTAGATCTGAAAAATACCTCCCCCACCCTGTTGCCACTTAAACAAATATAACTATATTCTGTGAAAAAAAATCAAAACACGGTGCAAAATTATAACGATTTAACAGAAATAAGATTTTCAAATCTTACTTTTCTGCAGCATAACAAATGACGGCTAAAAAGCAGAATATTGCATTTATGTAATTTACTAACTGAATTCAGGCTAAAATGCTTCTTTCCTTTCATTTGCTTTTCTTGGGTGGAATAATACGAATAATCCTTGCATTTGATATAGCGCCTTATCACATCTTCAAGATATCTCAAAGTGCTTCACACAATATACTGTAAAGTGAATTGACTATATATTTTGTGGGCGAAATGCACAGCAGTGTCCCACAAACAGTCATGGATTGAGTGACCAATGTAATAATATTCTTTTGAAGGAATTATTACCCCCGGAAAATTGGTCTGCCAATCGACTAACAATCTACTTACTATTGGGTAAACAGGTGCGTGGAGTGAGGAAACTTGCTCAGCGTTTCCCCCTGCCAGGAATTGAACCCAGGTCTCTCACTTGCAAGGCAAGTGCTCTAGTGCTC